AGTAGTTAGAAGAAAGAGTAACTTAAAATCAAGTCATCAACATTTTCCCAGTAACGGAACTGAGTTACTCCGCCCATGCGTTCGGATGGCGCCCTAAGCCATTTGCGCAGCACTGCGCTAGCTTCACTGAGTTACCCAATCCTATTAATTAATAAATCGAATTAATTTAACTGGATTACCTACATCATGAACTGAAAGAATAGGCAGACATACACAAACTCTATTCAATTATTAAAATTGAATTCAACCAGTAAAACATTGAGGTATATGGCTTTCGTGCTTTGCTATAGAAATGAATAAAGATAATTTAGATTGAAGCAGATACGAGTAAAACGTAGAACAATGCAAAAAATTAAAATTCCGTTAAGTCTTTGTCAGTCGGTTTTCGTGAAAAATGTAGTCGACGTATTTTATTTCATATCTAAAAGTAGCATTTAAAATAGGTTGTACCGTAAGAAAATTTTTATTACTTATTACGAAAAAACTATCGACCATTGCGGTCTTTTTCATAAATACGTTTTCTAATTTTCATATGCACGTTTCTATAACGATTCATTTACAGTACCTATCTAGATACCGTAAGAGGTGTGTTCTTAAATTGAATCTAGCACAATTTAAAAAATGTACAATCAGTATATTTATATCTAATGTTTAAAAGCAAATTGGTCAAAATAGAACAACGTTGGAACGTTTAAGCCAGAATGAGACAAATGCAAAGCCCATAGATTGTTTAAATGTTAATATAGCCGACATAAATATAATAATTAAAACACGATTAGAAGTAAAACTACTAAAATTATTAGAAAGGTAAAATTTGAAACACGATATACTGTGTAATAATGTTAGATGGAAGTTTTGATAAAGTACCTACTCTACTTCTAATTTGTAAATTAGAAAACGGGTTCGGGTTATCAATTCATACTGCTGAATGTGAGAAAATACCTTCTTTCTAACACCCTTTAAATATTTCACACCAAATACCCAAATATTAAGGCACATATAAAAATTGGTCTTTAAAGTTTAAGAGAATTCCGATATTCGATTGCAAACAAAATTTGGAAGAACGATATAATTTAACGAAAACTTAAAACTATATCGATCGTGTACCCTAAATATTTTAATTTACTTAGGCAAAAAGCAAAGATGAAATAATTGTACATAGAATGATCTAGAAATGGCGGAAAATTTAGATTTTGATCTAATTTTCCATAAAATCACCTCTCTTTATAAAACAATTTACGCTTCTTTGTTGCGAATTGAACTTTTAAATCTTTTCAGGCAAGAATGGTCTTCGAAACACAATAAAGACCTCTCATCGAATTTTTGAAAGGGAAAGAAATAAACAACTTAAATCATTTGATGTTGGCAAAAACAGATATCTAATCAATTTCGACAACTCAATAGAACTTTGGTTTTCGCAGACAATGCTTGTAAGGTATTTTCATAGTGGAGATTAGTCAACCCGTTAATTATGAAAATTACTATTAGATAAATTTTCTGTTTCGAACGAGGAATACAAATAAATATTAAAATATTGTCAAGAACTGTTTAGGTACAGGTTTGTGCATATTATGGTGGGAAATTCTTACATAGACAAACACGGAATATTTTGGAATGTTTTAATTATAATAAAATAATTAATATTGTCAAACCTTTCTTCAAATTGTTCTTTTAATTGTTTTTAGTATATTTCTAAATAAGAAAATGTGGATTGTTAACTTTGATAACGTAGCTAGCACCATACTTAAATTTGGACATCATATTGATGTTTTGTTTTATGGATCCTAAAAAATTAATTTTATTAATTAAGTTAATTTAAAACCATTTTTGGGCATCGACGTCTCTGCGGATTTTCAGAACAAGCTTTAGAAAATGGCATTTCTTCAAAAATTTCAAGGAAAAAAGGGTTTTATATTATGCTTGCTGAATACATTTTGGTATCATTTGATGGGTTCTTCTGAGTTATCAGATACGTGTGTTTTTTAATTCCTCTAAAGCGTGTTTAGTTTATTCGTTAAGAGTTCATAATACATTCATAAAGTACATTAAGAAAAAGGTACTGTTACTGTTGCCGTAAATAATTGATAACTTAAAAAATCAACGTAGTTCAGCCGCATTGGTAAATAGGTCACTTTTTAAACTGAACTTTTCCATGAAGTTTACTTAACTTAATGCACGCAAGTAATTTTTATAGTGGTGATTAGGAGGCCTGCTACTTGAGTGCAGATCAGTAATGAGAATTGCTATGCAATTATTAAATGCAGGTATTGTCCATATTATGGTGACGAATTCTTATACAGACATACGTAAATTTTATGATGAGAACATTGATTTAGTCAAGGTTATCTTGAAATTGTTCTTTTAAATGTATTTTTGTATATTCTTTTATTGGTCATACAAAATAATTGAGTAATTTGACTATTGGAAATCGATGTCTATGTGGATTTTCCGAAAAAGCTTCAGACAATTAAATTTTACCAAAAATTTCAATGAGAAAAGGGTTTGAGACTAAAACTGCGTAGTTTTTTGCGATTTAGATTTAAAAAGATGCTTGCTCAGTACATTTTCCCATCATTTAATATATTCGGCCCAATTATCATATGCGTGTTTTTTATAATTCCTCTCTAAATCGTATTTGTTTTATTCAATCAGCTTCCATGACAGTATTATAATGAAAAATTTAAAAAATATATTGTTTTTCCTGGCGTTTGATCGCTTGTAATTTTTAGCCTAAGGAGTAACTGGACATAAATAGTTGAGAACTTAAAAAATAAACTAGAGCGTCACTTACTCTACAGCTGCAGTCGTAAATAAAGCTATTTTTAAAGTAAATTTAACTATTCACTTTATTTAACTGCGACTTATTGTAGATTTTGTATATTAAAAGGACATACACCATATTCTCAAGAAGTTATTAAATACAGGTATGTATATTATACCAGAGATCCTGTGATGACGGCGGATTCTTACACAGACAAACACCGCATATGTTATGGTGTTTTATAATTGTAAAAATAAAATAAATTTAGTCAATACGTTCTTCAAATTGTTCCTTTAAATGTTTTTAATATATTCGCAAATAAAAATGTGTTTTGTTAATTTTTGTTAACTTAACACCATACTGTCAAGAATGCATTTAACTGAAATGCATGGTCTTAAATATTATTTTCAGTATTAAAAAAAGCAGGAATTTAGATATCGATGTCTAGGCAGCTTTTCGCTGAAAGCTATAAAAACTGATATTTTTCGAAAATTTTCAAGGAAATAATGGTTTTAGATTTTCAGTTTCTTAGTTTATTTGCGGCTCTTATTTAATATGTTTAAAATGCTTGCTGAGTACATTTTGGTATCATTTGTTTTTTTTCCATAATAGTTTTATAAAACAAAATTTTAAAATATTGTTTTCCTTAGCCATTTGACTAAATCAACCAGAGCGTATACGCTCTATATACGCTCCCATATAATATCTTACTCTACAGCTGCATTGGTAAATAGGAAAATTTCTAAATAAAGTAAACTTAACTTTTCCATTCACTTTACTTGACTCTGACAAGAAAATTGTCAAGCATATTAAGCGTTAAACATAAAAAAAAATTAAACAGTGCAGGAAAATCGACAAAAATCACTTTGGATTCAAGATTAAAGTAAAAGAAGATATTTGATCAGGTTCCATATCATAATAACAATAATATAATAACAATTTAATAATTACTTACAGCAATCCTCGCCTCATCCACACTTATAAAGCGCTTCCCTTTTAGAAACGAATTTAGGAATGATTTGAATAGATGGCAACAGTGCGAAGCCTGCAATTGGTTAAAGCTCGGAGCAAACCCGGCCGGCCAAGAGAGCGTGCGCCGTATTCGGCTAAACCGGGCGCTGTTGCTATGTTTCTTTTAGTTTAAAGAGAATATTGACCTTTTCCTTGTATCTTTTCAAAAAACCCCGATGAGCAGTGTTGATGTTCGTTTAGAAAGTTTCTCAGGAAGCCTTAACGCAAAGCAGGAAATTCATGTATTGTGTGTTTTTTGTGTTGTTGGGATGGAAGGATGATTTTAATTCATCTTTTAGGGCATTATATAAATATATTTTTTTTTAATTAAAAAAAAAATTGAATTTGAATGAAAAGTTTTTTAAGGTTAAATTCAACTCAATAATATTCAGTTGAATTATAACTGTAGCCAATTTATATTTTAATACTTCACTAATCGAGCAATTTCTAGGTAAATGTCTTAGTGTGGTCTTTCTCTATCCTATCCTCGTTCATTAATCTGGGTGTATATGGGTGGATTTTGCAAGCTAAAATTAATAGCAAAGGTGTGTGCGCTCATATTCAAAAATAATTCGACAAGAATGTTTGGAAATTAATAGTTTAATTTTTCTTTAATTATCATTTAAAATGTCGCTTTTAATTCATTAGAAATGCTTCGGTATTATTTTAATAATTTCTTTATAGTTGTTTGATTTTCTGAGTTCACACCAACGGGCACGATGGATTCTTTTCTATTCAGTGATTTTCTGAAAATTTGCAATCAGGGAGTTTTCTAGATATTCGGCAACCCCGAAATACATTGACAAGTGAATCGGTTTCCCCCTCTCGCAACCCCCGCCATATCAATATTCAATGTTGTAGTTGTGTTTGTTGTAGCTTTTGGGTGGTGTTCACACTAAATTAGTAAACACGTTGCTTCCAGTTTAATCAGTTTTCCGAATTAACTGTGTTAATGACGACTCGTGCCGCGTAAGCCATAAAACAATGGTCGTTCGGCTTTCACTCCAAAGGAATACAATGAAGAAACCGCTTTAATCGAACTATTTCGGATCGAAAACCGACTTGTCTAGGATGGGCCATGTATTTGTTTATATTGCATCTATATTATGCGGTGCGGTTTTGGGACAAACATTCACCGCTTTAGATAGCACAACAACAACAAGTTTTACAGAATCAGCTACTCCCAAAAGTGCCCAGGGCATTGACACCTCTAATCTTAATATTTCAGTTCCAAGCCCTCCCAGGAATCTCACTGTAATAAATGTTACTGATACAACTATGACCCTACAGTGGATCATTCCTGAGCAACCCAATGGAGTGATAAAGGGCTACCGGATTTATTATGATGATGGAGTCAACACATTATATGTCACGGATAAATCGGACTTAGGAGAGTTCGTCAAAACATTTGTCCTTACTAACCTGGGTAAGTCTCTTATCTATTAATTTATCTCACATTGGTAACGCATAATTAGTAGCTAAAGGATGTTACTTGCAATTGTAATATCCCTGCTAGTGTCATTGACTAATTAATTCCAATTAACTACAATATAAATTCATTGGAGCAATATTATTCCTAGGTAAGTAGGACACAAAATTCCCAGCAATTGGGTATATTAAAAAATAACAAAAATGTATTTATTACCATGAAAAAAGAGCGCAGCATCATGTAGCTATTTTTTATCTTACCAAGTTTCATCCTTGTATATCTGGTTAAAAATTATATTTAAAGTTCTATCTTGGTATCTATCCAGGCTGATTAAGAAAATAATTAAGCCAAAGCCAGTATCGGCAACATTCATTTATTTGGGGCTAATTTGCTGCTGCCTTTAGCATTGCTGCTGTGAAATAATAAACCAACGTATTTTTGATAAAACTCTTCCAATCTCAACATAAATTAATTCCGAATCCAATCTTTCATATGAAATACGGTTTTGGTAAACTGTATTTTAATTATAATTATAGACGGGGTGAATCAGTTTATAGGACAGCAGTCATTTCATAGAGCACTTTATTTTAAGTGAAATTTGTCATGTGAACCTACAAATTTACCTAAAAACCCAAGGGTGTCAAAGTTCTTAATTTTTAATGGTGGTTTCCTCCAGTAGTGCGCCATTCACCACTTATTTGCATACATTCAACTCTATTTATCTTTTACATTTTTATGTAACTGTTGACGAGTAATTTGGAAAACCCTCCAATTGTTTTTCACTTGATCAAAACTTTCGAGAAATAAAAATCTATGAGCTTTCTTTTGAAAAATTCTCATTAATAAAAAACGTTCATTCTCCATTTACCAATCTACTGTAAATTTATATAGCCAATAAAAATAATTTACATCAAATTTTATTGCTATAGATGCAAAATTGCAACCGATTTCAATTTATCAACATATGAATAGAAATATGTTTGTTTTTATTCAAATATAATTTCGGAGAGGTTCAAATTACTCCTCAAAGGTTACAATTGCGGTAAAAACGTAAAACTTTTCAAATTAAACGCGGAATTCAAATGGTTACATACAAGCGATCAGTGGGGCACCATAAAATTTTATGAAGGGTTAAAATGGAGCAGACCACCGAAAAATTATTACAGTGGACATTTTGAAGTTGTGTACATTATGTCAAGAGTTCTGGGCCATCATATGTAATCTGGAGTGAAAAATGAATATATTACCTCATAAATTATAGGAGCGATTGCCGTAGTCCTAATATAATAATAAATTCTGGAAAATATAAACTACTAAATCCTGAGGTTTCGTACATTCTTTCTTCAACACAAAAACTCAACGGTAGCAAAGTCAGTGGAAAAAGGTGACAGAACATTGATATTTGATTTAATTTAAACCAAACACAATAGTAGGTACCTAAATACAAATGTTGGCGCAGACTATGAATTTTTGACTATAAAGTAAAAAATACTTATCAAAATATTTAAAATATTTTCTTATCTGGTAATTGGCATAAAATAACTATTGTAAAACAACGCTTAATTTATGAGAAGATTCTGATTCTAAAAAAGGAACATTTGTGTGTATTTCTAAACACAAATTAAATTGTAAAATTATTAAATCAATGTGAATTAATAAACCAAAGTGATGTGCAGCAAAATATTCAAGTCTGAAAATAAACAACAAAACCAAATACGGTTTTACCAGAACTTATTGTGAATCAACTGCAATATCTTCATGAGAAGTACTAAGTACTTATGAAATTAATAGCACCATTAGAAAAAATGAATAAACTTCGGTAATGGTCATATAACTTTTGTGATCTATAGTTCAAAAAAGGAATAACATAGCTGCCGAAGATTAAGAACTGCTATTATATTATTCAGCCATTTAATATTCGTTTCTCATTTTCAACATTTAATTGACCATAGTGTGAAAGTAATAATCTTAATTCTGAAAGTTTACTTTTCATTGTTATCAGTTAAAAGTCCCGAAATCAGCTGCGAAATTGGCCCGTAGAAGAATAATCTGCTAAAGTCACATGTCACATACACTATCGCAATATACAATATAAGGATAGATTAGATTTTAATTATTAACGCCTAAAAAGTGAAATGAATATGCGTGCTTCTAGCATGAGTAAAAAATACCCACTAATTAATATTTAACATTCTTCATTTTTTAGTATGGTGTTTAGTTAGGAAGTAAATACGCATAAATTAAATAAAGTGAAAGCTCACTTGGGCTTCTCAAGAGGTGCAAGTCGTTCCAACAACGAATTCATTAACACCAATACGTGAATGTTTTTAGCTAATCTGATACGCATCAGAATTATCTTCAACCACAAGTTGTGATTTGAATTTGCAAATGCGGGAAAAATTGGCTTTCGAAGAAACGTTAGTTAGTTTGGATATATCTATGAAAAATAGCGAACCGTTAACTAATAATCGACATTGAATAATATATTATAACATACTAAATAAATTCTAGTTTTTTTGTGTACCTAACTGTAAAATTATATATTTTTATTGGCCAAACATACATAATGTATGGAACTTTCAAGTTAGTCTTAGTTCTCATTAAAAATGTATTTTTAAAAAAGAACTCCATTTAATATTTACATTGGCTATAGCAAACTCAAGCATTTTAAACGCAATTTTGTTGCCTTTGAACTTCAATAATTCAATTGCTATGAAAAAAGCATTGATACAAATATTCTCATTTAAGATCTTTTAATATGGTTCATTTGCTTAAATGTGTTATAATATATCCTTTTACATTATTTTAAATTCAAACTAAACTCTGGGACTTTGCCCGTATATTTCATGCTGATAATTGAATTAATGGTAATTGCATTGAAGTCATTTCAATTATTATCAGAAAATTACATTTCCAAATGCATATGTGTAATAGTACTTAATATTAAGCACCGTTCAAGCATTTATTAATGATGGTGAATTTTCCTTCTTTCGTCGGCTCTTATCCACAGTAAAGTAAATATTTTCTGATCGCTTCGTATAAAGAAAACATTTCAGTTCTGTTCACGTACTAGAATGTACTCAGATAGCACCTGCTTCTGTGGCTATTTGTACTAATGTGTATATATAATGTGTTTGATACTAAAAGAAAATGCGCAACTTGAAACATTTGAGGGGATAGAAACAAACTTAAACTGAAGCAAGTATCTTATTTGTTTCCTTTTTTGAACTTTTCTATTCATTTACAAAATAGTAAAATGACTTCAGGCATAGAACAAATTGAATGACAAATTATTCCATCATAGCTGCTCTAGCAGGTTTCAGAATTGCGACATGCATATATTTTCGCATTATTTAGTCAATGATATCAGCATTACTATTCAAAGACAAGAGTGTGATTGGAAGGAAAAAAATTACTACGTTGCTGCATATTGACTATGTATTTTTGTTATAGTTCCTGACAAAAAATATGCTCTCAAAGTTAAATGCTTCAACCATCGAAATGAGGGAAACTTCTCAGAGGTAACAGTGGGCCGCACTGATATTAAAGGCCCCAGTCCTCCTATATTGACAAATGTTTCATGCGAATATAATAATTCCATTCTGGTGGAAGTTAGTCGACCAACTACTTCTCTCGGTGTCTTTGATGAATATTACATTGATGTATATGAAAGTGGTCTTCTCTATAAAAACATGATACTGCCTACTGAGAAGGGATTCCTTTCTGCATCGGTAAGAAATATTGGGGAAAAATATAATTTTACCAAACTGTGTATGCTCTTTATTTCAGTATATTTTCCGTAACGTAACACCTAGACTTCACTATAGTATTCAGGTTTACGCCGCAGCTCGAAGCGGTCGTACCGGGAACTACGTGATAGGGGAAAAATCTCGGTTCAAGACAGTATTTGTTACGGAAGGTTGTCATGTGACTTCTGAGCCATTTACTGAGTTATGGGCTGGGATATTAGCTGGTTTTTTGTGTGCTGTCCTCGTACTAGTTCTTGGAGGAGGATCATATCTAGTGTGGAAGTGAGTCAAATCGTTTCTAATGTTATCAATATTTTGATGCTAATGTTAAGATTTTAAATACCCCTGAGCAGTTTCTCGCTAATAGGAACAGATCACGTGCGTTATTTAATTATATATTAATTGCTAGCATTTCCATTGGATTGAAAGTGAAAGTGTTGTCAGTTAAATCTGGCGAGAGCACTCAACTCAATACTCAACAGAAAATGTATGGCCTCCTAATGTTGTTTGTTATCTAAATGAGTGTGAATTTGTCGGATAAAATTCAAAGCTGAGAGCGATAATACCTATTAGCGGCTTTGATATTAGACATGCGAGACAATTGATATAATGTACATAATAGTAGTTGTGATAGTTCTTTGGCATCAGCTGGTTTAATAGTTACAATATTCCATGCCAGTACCGACGCTCAAGAAAATTTGTGATTCTTCAAAATGTTAGTGAAAACAGTCAATCGGTTTTTATTCAAAAACTAAAAAAGTTAGTATAAATACTCCTCTGTTTCCTTTAGTTGTCGGGATCTTATTATTATATGAAATTTTAATTGCCGATCAATATGCAATCTAATTTTCTTTGGTAACGCCCAACTAATCCTTTTTTCATTCAATGCTTGTCATGATGTTACTGTTAATTAAAGTTGCACACTTCAACAAGCATGATCAATGTCAGGTTACTTAGTCAGATAATAAAATTTACCAAAGTGCGTCCCCTAGATAATTAAATTTTCTAGTACTTGACAATACGTAATCGCCATTTTTCTACTTGGTTAATATTTGGTTGAAAAAATTTACAAGATTGACATAAAAATAATTATAAAAATAAAATAATGAATAATTTAAAGCTACATTTTCAGCAAACCTGTTCTATGCTAGGTTAGCAACCATAAATAATGGGAATACAAATTTCGTTGCAAAAAAGTGATTAGCTTGTAGTATTTTTCACACGGATGACTCACAATGACTGTAGCTGAAGCAGAATGAATGGTTCATTGTTTAACTTTAGATGGAATCAGCTATGATACTCATAAACAATAGCAGTTTCAAATTCCACACAAAATAAGGGTGGTGCTTCTGCAGTTTACCAGATCCAATGCAGCAATAAATATTATCTCGTAAATGCGCTTTTCAAAATTCTTCATCAAGCTTCTGAATTGTTCTCTGAAGTATGGAAAATGTTTTACTGGTTCATAAAGGAAATACATATTTTCAAGTAAATAAAATTACATATTTATTAAGACGATAGCCTTGTTGTTCTGCAAAATTAAAACATTTATTAAGAAAATTTAAATGCTATTAGCTATTCAAAATACGTTCTGTCTTTAATTTTATGCATGTACAGGGATACACTTGTTTCATAAATGCAAAATATGTTGTCGTGTAATAATAGTTATATGAATGTTACAAGGTTTAAAATACTAGCAATTTGGTTTCAATTCATGTGACATTATTGAATACATTTTACGTACATTTATGGAATGATTAATCACCGGTTAATCTCTTTACTGTCATTGTTTAGATACGCAACTTTAGTAGCTATGACAATGATCAGGTAAGTTATAAGCTGTGAAAAGGGAAGTTTAGTTGGAACGAACGAAAGTGATAAAATATTTAAGTATATATATATATATATATGTATATATATACATATTAAGTTTTAAAAAATAAGTGTTAAGTCAATTTCATCAAAGCTGGCTAGCTGCAGATAAACAATTATTGTGTCCTTCAAAACAAACAATTGCATTTTTGCCAGCGTCTGACTTAAATCATTTCAACAATAATCACAGACATTTATTACGCGCACCATTATATTTTCTACATTGTTCATGACGGAGACTTAATTGGAAATGGTTTTTATTCCAACGAACATCAGTTGTTGTGTGCAGAGTTGTGAATGTTTTCCATATTTCATTATATAATTGTGGTAAATAAATATGTCTAGGTAGGTAAATCAATATCTTTCCCTGTTTGACATTAAGTGATCTGTTCCTATACTAAACCAGTGGAATGCCTAAGCTCCTCTCATTTCGATTGCAGTTATTTTACGCTTTTATTTGCTCGGCCGATAATAACCAAATACCATTTGCAAAAGTTTGTGTTTATTTTCTGTGCGAATATGCAGGATGTTTCATCGTGATGTGAGAATAATTTAAGGAAATACAATTTTAAAAGAAATTGTTTCAATATACAGGGTGAGTCAGTTTATAGTAGCAGGACTTAAACGATCGACAGAGAAGGCAATTTTAAGATGAAAATATCATACAAACATAAATTGAAAACTGCTTCGTTTTTGAGATACAGTGTGGCAAAGTTCACATTTTATTTGAGTTTTTTTTATAATTTACCCAAATCTGAGATACTGTAATAAAATTCGTTATTCTACGACTTAATCACAGTACCACATTCAATATGTCCAATGGCACCACATGGCCCTAAAATTTAATGTTTAAATAATCATAACATGTTGGTCAAAAATAATTTTTCGTTCGTTTTTACGGAAGAAAAGTATTCTTGTTTGAAAGCGCTAACAATAACCGTCTTCAAGATTTTTCCAAAAACTTTGTATTTGCAAATTAATCACAAAAAGTAACAAACTTAAATTTAGCAATTTTAGGTTTCTAAAGTTAATTTTAAATTATTGGATGTATTATTTCGATAAGTTCCAGAATATAGAATTTTAGTACATTATCTTGAGATGTGCGTTAATTATCAAAAGAAATAAAATTAAAAAAAATGTTAAACCAGGGTGGCAACCTGTATCTCAAAAACGAAGCCATTTTCAATATATGTTTGTATGATATTTTCATCTTAAAATCGGATTTTCTACCGACGGTGAAAGTCCTGCTACTATAAACTGACATCTTGTATTTTTCGGATATAGGATTTTCCGCCTGCTATAGTCGATCTTGAAAATGGCGAAAAATGGTTATTTTAGTACATATTTAGAGCTAATTGAACGATGTTTTAGAGTGATCATGTGCTTATGTCCTTCAATGAAAGAAATGTAGATGCCCTGCTGTTAAGGCCCATAAGAATTTCTATTCTGAACACTACATTTATTTTATTTAATGTTTATTATCATATAATTAATAAATCGAAATAACAATTGTTTTGGCGAGTACACGAATTTTTCAGAAACAGTTACTTAAACATGGCAGTCGTCTAGTGAATGCTTATAATTTTTTATTTGATATGTTTTAATTATAAATTAGTCCTTTATGGAAGCTAATGAGATATTTTGCCAAATTTTACATGGAGCATTTTTTGTAGCAAGTTTGAGCATCGACATCAGTAGGGACCAGGAACTTTACACACATTATGAAACGTCTCGTAGAGCGTATTTCTTCAAGATGATTTGCATATATGAAAATGTTTAATTGGCAAGAGCAATGTTAGAAATTGACCAGTACGGCATATGTTTAAATCGCGGAAATCTTCAAGAATTAAACACTTTCGCTTTGAACAATATTTAGAAATTATTTTGGTTTGCATAAATTAATATACAAAATGTTGTCGAGTCATAGCAAGCACATCTAACCGCCGTATTTAATTGCCTGAGCTGAGATCGGAGAGTACTTGTGCAAACAACACATTTTTAAATAATGAATTAGTGCTTACTAACTTAGGTATTCCACATTTACAAAATATGTGTTTACCCTTGTCTCTTGATGAATAAGGGAAACGTTCCGTAGATCTATAACAGTCTTTTAATATCATTACTTATACTTATTTCAAATTTTTAAGAAACTTGGAAAATATTTTACTTCAGGTACCTGTTTATTGAATGTATTGGTATTAAAAGACTAAATTGAATTATGTTATGACAATTGTTTGGTTCAGACCTAACTCAGGTTTTTTTCACACAGCAGGGCTTTCTGCAAATCCCGCCATAGAGCTAGACAATATACAGGGTGTTCCGTTGAAGAAACTATGAATGTTCATAATGTCAATCAAACCATGACGAATAATACCCAAACCCAATTTAATAATATACATACTGTCCATGTCAATCATAATCATGTAACTGACATTCCTATTGTTGTCTAACTTTTAATTTTGGTATTTTTGTACTGCCTGTATATAGAAGTGTTCTAATTGTAATTAAAAGGAGTTCTATTTTTTTTTAACTTAATTTTTAACTAAAAGTTTTTATTTGCAATACTTTGATGGGTGTTTAGTGCACAAAGAGAAATACCTACACATATTTTATATGGAAACGAAAAGACTGACAACTATGAATTTATTTATTTATGTGAATGTACATATTTTTGTAAATGCAAAGAATATCCTGCATATTATTTAGGCTATAGGTTTGGGTAAGGAAAACACCCTGTTAATGTTTATGGGTAGGTACTATAACTAACCAATGACAAGAATTTGTTCTTTTCATTACAATATAATTTTCGTTTTAGATGTTTTTTTTGTTTTGAATGTTTGTTATGTTAGGATAGGTGTACATCACTTGTAACTACACAAAACTAATTAGGCCATTTCCAACACAAATTCATTACCCTAGCGAAATTCAACCATACGACATTCGAACATCATGCTTCACATTTTGTCAGTTATATGTATGAGTGTAGCTAAGCCCACTGTAGTTACGAAAAACACTGGGGTTTACTACAACCTTTTCGTTTTCATTGTTTTAAAATATACAGGGCGCATGAACTTCATTGTTAGTTTTTTTTTATTTGTGAAAATCCTTCTTGAACACCCTGTATGTTTTGACGAAATGTGTTTTGGTCTAAACCCAATCTAATCTGAAATGCCTATTTTATACTACAAAACGTATAATGTGAATTATGTATGTTTATTTAATATAACCATCGCTGTTCATCGCTGATGTTAACGGTATGTCTGGAGATATTTTCAGTCAGTTTACTGAATGACATGGGTTACACTTCAGGTCTAAATTCACGGGCTTTTATTTTGCTTCAGAGGGTTAAAAATGGGTCAAATTAAAATATTGCTTAAAAATATAGTTATTACAGTACCCAAATATTATTTTGTTCTACCGGTGGTGTCTTTATTAAAATTGATTTTTTGAGTAAAAAAATTGACTTTCTTCGATGTGGCCACATTCAATTCCACTCACTGTTCAGTCCACAAAAAAGTTCTCTTAGGCTTTCCGTCGTCAAAAACATCGTTCTTTATTAAAATAATGAAATACCTATTATTGCATGTTTATCATTGCCAAACGCACGACCGCTTCCGTAGAAATTAAATTATTTTAATGAAAAATGGTGCACAATTAAAAGGCAGGAGATCTTTTTTATGTACCAAATTACAAAACCCGACAAAAATGCATGAGAGCTTTCGAGAGACATTTAAAGGAATTGTTTTTATTATCGGGTCAGAACGACCCCGACGAAAAATATATCCCTAGTGGTCATCAATAAAAATGGGGAAAAAAGACTGACTTACTTAAGGGCACTTCTTTAGCACATTCTTGTTAAATATCTCTTCATATGATATTCCTCTTGATTTAGATGAGAAGCTAAATTTATTAATAACGCTGCAGTTACCAATTACTCAGTCATAAATCAACTGACCCTTGAAAGTTGATCTCTCGCTACGTTAATTGCCATTGTTTTTAATTAAATGCAATCAGAAATTTTTAACTCGTGCTGTTTTTTAGATCAATTGAATCGAATAATGTACGCTTTCCAAGTAATAATCTCAAGTTAAATAGGCATTTCAGATATGATTGTCAAATTGTTATTTTATGTAATTCACCAAGACACCAACATCGATAAGATCCAAGAACAAGGCTCAACCAAATTTTTTGCAGGCGTTATCTTCAACCACCTTACTATTACTTGGATAATACACATTGCGCTCCAGCTGCCTTAGATTGGAACAATCGTCCACCTCCTAGAAACGAAGCTGATGCAGCAAATGACGAAAATGATGGCAGACGTAGAGATTACAGCGGTCCGATCGAAGTCGGGAGATTTCACGATCACGTGCAAAGATTGCATGCGGATGGAGACATTGGGTTCAGTAGGGAATATGACTCTATCCAGAACGACCCTACTAATGAAGGAAATAGCTCTGAAAACTCGCAACATCCCGATAACAAGCCGAAAAACAGATATTTGAATATTATTGCTTGTAAGTTCAGTGTTTTGAAGGCTTCGCGTGTCATCTGATGGACATTTATATTGTAGATGATCATTCGCGTGTACAGTTACTACCGATGCCAGGCCAAAAAATTTCAACCTATATAAACGCCAATTACATCGACGGGTTTCTAGTAAGCAAAGCTTACATTGGCACTCAAGGTCCGCTCCCTTCGACTTTTGACTGCTTCTGGAGAATGATCTGGGAACAGAGAGTTACCATTATTGTGATGATTACAAATTTAGTTGAAAGAGGCCGGGTAAGTTGCAAATATGAAGAATGAGCGTTCCAGATGAAAAGCATACGCAACAAATTGTGAAACTGAATCCTTCAAACCTTTATTAATTCATAAAAAACACGAATAACTCTAATTTGAATCGGCATATCAGTTTTATGACTATAAAAATGTAACATATTGATAATTTTTCAGCGAAAATGCGATATGTATTGGCCCAAGGAAGGTTCAGAGTTATATGGTTTCATTCAAGTGAAATTGGTGAAAGAAGACGTGATGGCGACATATACCGTCCGAACCTTGGTTATCCGGCATACCAGGGTAAGCATTCCGGGAAACGTAAATTATTTTTCGCTGAAAATTGGACTTTTGCTAACGTTACGTTTTAGGTTAAAAGAGCTAAAGATATATCAATGGCGGAGAAAACCGTGTATCAGTATCATTACACCAATTGGCCCGATCATGGTACACCCGACCACCCTTTACCAGTGATAAGTTTCGTGAAAAAATCTTCTTTGGCCAATCCGCCTGATAGTGGTCCAATTGTTGTACATTGCAGGTACTCTCATATGAGCTCATCTTTATTTACAGCAACATAAATTACACATTTTGTTTCAGTGCTGGTGTTGGGAGAACTGGAACATATATAGTGATCGATGCAATGTTAAGGCAGATCAAGGCCAGGGGAGAAGTGAACGTGTTCGGGTTTCTAAAGCACATAAGAGCTCAAAGAAACTTCTTAGTGCAAACTGAAGAGCAATACATCTTTATACACGATGCACTTTTGGAAGCTATAGACGCAGGTGAAACTGACATTCCACGTGAACAGTTTGCTCGTTACGTCGAAGTGCTGCAGAATCCCGATAGTCGTTCGGAAGATGAGAGGGCATGGAAAGTCTTGGATGAACAATTTCAGGTAATTTTAATTATTTATTTGTACCTGGCCTGTGTTTTGGGAAAAATCTGCTATCACCGATCTGAATTAAAGTAAACTTGTATTCGATAACCCGTTGAATCTCTAGCCAGCTCCCAGTTTTAAGTTTGATGTTTGAAATTATTTGACTCAATTTGCCAACCTTTTCATTTGCAGCAAGTCATAAAGTTCAAGCCACGAGATTTTAACTTAGTCTCGGCTAACAAACCAGTGAACCAAAAAAAGAATAGGTGTGCAGTTCTTGTACCGATTGAAAGTGCCAGAGTTCATCTCACACCCAGACCTGGAGAGGATGGATCGGATTATGTAAACGCGAGTTGGTTACCGGGATTTCACAGTCTACGAGAATTCATTATTACTCAACACCCAATTGCCAAAGAGGAATTCTGGAAAATGTGCTGGGATCACACCTGTCAGCTCGTAGTCATGCTCAGCATTATTGACGGCGAGGAATTCGAGAAGTTTTGGCCCGAAGCAGACGAAGTGATTAAAACGGATGTTTTCACCTGTGTTCAAGCGAACGTCAACAAGTCTACACCATTTATCACGAGAGAATTTCTACTGAAATCTCTGCAGGATGACTTCGAAATACGAACAAAATTTGTTCAAAGTCTGAATTGGCCTCATCAAGGAGTTGCTAGTATTAAAAATATGTACGATTTGCCCAACTATGTTACAAGCCTACAGAAAGAAAATCAGGGGCCAGTATGCATTGTGGACAGGTAAGAAATATGTTTCAATACTTCCGATACTGATACTACAGTTATCATATCCGGCAAATATATGCAAAGTGAAACTTTTTGTATTAATGTGACACCGTGTAACTGGGAACCCCGACGGATTGACACCCTCGACTTCGTCTCGGATGTCAAACGCCTTCGTCGTTCAAAAGGGACACTTTTCGCTCTTGTATCGAAAATTACTATTGTGTTGCCAGCCAAGAATCTTTTTATGGGTGGTCAAAATTAGGCCTGGGTAATACTGTGTCTTAGATACTGGTGTGTTGATTGCCGCTCTGTGTGTTCATGTGCGCCACACCTGGCCTCTTACAACGCGACACTTAACATTTAATCTCATTCAAGATGGCACACTTCGGATTGTAGTTCGTGAAGGCCACGCGCAGTTACCATATGGTTTCTGACCCTCTCGGCAGGGCTTATTTTACGTTATAAAGCCGCACGAGCGAAAGTGCTCAAAATGCTTGTCTACTGATTACTGATCAATTCTTATTTATCTCGGTTCGATATGGCTCGCATAAGATTCTGGCCGTAGGTACCAGTACAACATCTGGAATTTCGGTATTTCAACAAAGAAAAAAGGCAAATTCCTGCCTTTTGATGACTATTACTACCAGATTGCATAAAAATCAGCTGGCGAAGAAGGCCAAAAAACTAACTTAGATAATTTGGTGAGCCCCTGCATACATAAAGGAACAAAATACATTCGGTCATAATTTATGGCTGATCCAGCAGCTGCGAAACCAATCACAGATACTTGTGAGACAAATAGGCTTTACAAGAAGGAAACATGTTGCCACTTTATCCATTCCTTTCAGTAAAACATCGCAACCGGCATTTGTCTCTATTCAGTAAAAACCAAAGAAAAGTTATTAACTTACGAACCACTAGATTTCACGAAGCACACCATTTTCTGTTTTTAGTTCCCAACATATAAAAAGTGTAGCGCGCCGTGTGGATGTATCAATACGGCAAGCCGTATCGGTGTCGCTGTGTGAACACCTGAAAATCCACTGTGTTGCCCAGGCCTAGTCAAAATATCGGTTGAAAAAGCGACCCAAAACCTTTAAATCAGTTTCTCACAAGAATCAATTGGCTTGTAATGGACAACACGCTGATTCGCGCTTTTATTATGCAGTATTAATTTAACCGATTTAGGAAAAAAAAACCCAAGTGCTAATATATACGCAAAATAAACGTTGCTACTGCCTAAGTTCATTCATCGGCTCGTATGGAAAAGAGGAAGTTTGCGTTCGAGACAAAGCGACTTAGCAAAAATTTTGTTTTGTCCGTTGCAGTTTCAAATCACTTCCTTATCCTACCTGTGACCGCTCCTTCAAAACTTACTGAGCTTTTTATTCTCAGATTTGGTGGTACTGAAGCAGCTACGTTCTGCGCCTTGGTAACCCTGAAACGACATTTGGCTTATGAGCAAAAGGTTGACATCTATATGTATGCAAAGCTATATCACAATAAAAGACCGGGTCTGTGGCTTTCTGTAGATGACTACATGAAATTGCATCTTTGCGTTCAAACTGTAAGCTCCGAACCCGAAAAATATCTTGAAGAAGTGCCACCAGATCTCTACACGCTTGCTAATGGAGTTTCGAAAACTCGAACCACCTCGAATTGTTCTGGAAAATCATCAAACTACTCAGATCCACAACCGGGCTATTCTAGGTCTCCAGATGGTTACTCGGCCTCTGTAGCTGTTACTATCGAGCAGGATGGTGAGCGTCCATCTACGTCGAAGGATGTGGGATTTTCAGCGGGCAGTTTGCATGATAGCAAAAATGATTTGGAGCGAGTTCCTCCTGAAGGTATGGAATCTGAAGGAGCAGTTCTTTGAAATTCGCTTCAGTCGCAGGGCAATAATGAGCAAGACGGTGTTTGTTATGTCTTTGCGAAAGGGGAGTGATAATATTCAGAATTAAGACAAATATTTCAAACATTTGCCCTGACGGTTGAGCAAAGCATCATAAAAGGAACATTAATATTTGTCATAGTTTTGAGTTGAAAAGACGTATTTCACTTTGAGTGTTTATCCCGTTAGAACTGCACTGCTGTTTTAGTGGGGTGTTTTAAGTGTCAACTGATAAGCTTGGTGATGTGTAGCTTATCCTCCTTCTATGTTAGGAAAACTTTACTGAGTATACGATTTCATGTGGTTTAGCTTGTAGTGAAGCTATTAATATAAAATTAAATATTAGCAACGAAATTGTCAAGTTACCTGAAAGTTACTATTTTAAAATAACATCGAAATTTGTTTGAATTTTTTTAGTCAATTTAGACGATTTTAAAATTATGTTGCGAGGGGTTCCTATCAGTAATAACTAAAAAAGTACCTGTTTTATTTTAAGTTTTAAATAATAGGAAATACATGAAATTGTATGATTAGTATTGGAGTGTTATGTTCTGTGTTAATGATAATATAATAACAATATACAGTAAACTCTAGGATTGTCTATACCAGTATAATATTATACTTCAGGAGCACGTACATTTTTGTGAAACACTGTTTCTAAAAAAGTTCATTTCGTTTGTGTTGTGTTCCATGTTTCTCAATTGATGTTAACAAATATTGCACAATTTGATGTTTGTCTTACTAAATTTACACACTACAACTCTATACATTCACACATTTCTTAGTGTTTAACATTTAACTACTGCGTATTGACATGTTACATGTATATGTAATTGTGTTCTGGATTTCCAACTCCATTTTGCCTTTTGTTTGCTAGTAACTGTCCGAATTGTATGCTTTGTGTTCAAATACGCTTCTTATCTTTTTGGTTATTGTAATATATACATTTATTTTTCAGTGGTACCGCTGTTAGGAAATCTGGAGACCTTTCCTTAATTCCGTTCGTTTGTATTAAAATTAAAAAGATAGTAAGTTTCGAGATACCTGCGAACTAGATTGAGTTCCTTCAATATTTATAAATAGTTTGTTAAATGGAGCGTTGATGAAACGTTTATTTTCATGCTTCTTATAGTTATTTATTTTTCGTCTACCGTGGCTGATGAATACGTTCAGGCCAGTATAGTTAATAAGGTAATGTTCAATGTTTTAATCATGTAAACTAGTGATCCTGAATTTCGACATTCTTAACTCCCTTGAAGGGGTTTACTGTCATGGAATATAATTCCTGATATAATATAATAAACCTGGCATCCAAATGGTGCAAATTATACAACATAATTTTAACCGTGAAATATATATTTTGTTTATTCTACTATTTTACAATTATTTTAACACTTGTTATTCACAATTGTTTCGCCTGTAACTGTTGAATTAATAATTCTGAATTTCATTCAAGTTAACAGGCAGGAAATAAAGGCTATGTCTGCAATTTTAGTACATTTTAAGGATATTTTCGATATCACTTTACGGCTTATTTTATTTTTCACACTTCGATCTTGGATAAATTCTATTCCATTCCAATTGAGATGCATTTATATACTTATATTTAAATGTGTCAATTTTTTATGTAATTTTAAGAATCTTTAAATAACCTGTTGTATCAACAGACTTCAATCATTTTTGATATCTTACATTCTGTGACGAAATTAATTAGTATGTAAATAAATTGTTCATAATGTAGCAGCAAATTTAGCCAATCACTGGTAGCCAAACTCTAGTCAACTGAACATTACATTTTCTAGGGTAATGAGTTGTAGGGCATCACATTAATTATTCGTTATTTTTCGAAAAGAAAAATTGAAATGTTACTTCTAGATGATGGGGAAAAATATTTTTGGAAGTATTTTACGTTCCTTATTATTCCTTTGCTTACAATTACGTAGAAAATCATCCAATCGGATTAATCTTTACTGTGCATTTATATCGTCACGTGTCCGAATGAATAGTGACTTCCAAAATTACTTTACCAATGCATTCTTGTACATGAAAGTATAATTAAAGTTTAGAAGAAGTTAGAGAGAAAGATAAGGTGAATATGAAAAGCCTGATTTGGAGTGTCCATTTCAGTATTCCTCAAGATATTTTAAGATTATTACAGGGTTACATGGACACTAGTAAAATGTAGGTTCTAGCCACACAATTACCAACAATTTTTTAAATCACACATAGGTTAGATCTTTTTAGAAATTATTTGAACGGAATCTATGCTGCTTATTTTACATTTGCGTATAAACAAAATATACAACAACTAAGTTAGATACTTTTCACTGTATATTTGAACATGACATTCGTGTTAAGATATTTACTTCCACTAGACTGAGGTGTGGATTTGGACATTATACAGTTGGACAGTTGATCTAACTTTAGTCAGTACCCGGCACATATTCAACTTCAATCATTACAAGCAAAGTATATGGTTCCACGAACCAATGACTTGTCTTTGCCGAATCTCGTTAAGGAGTTTTAATGTTTTCAATAATTTTCCAGGGCAGTTTTTCAGTTCAACTTCTTTCTCATTATTTGCTCAAATCCACGAAGCACGAATGAAATTTCTATTCAGTACTCAGATAATTACTGCAAGTTATATAATTCCTGACTGTTATTCAGATCGTTTTTTTACACCTCATCCAGTTTAGCCTATTATATTAAAACTGGGCCTAGATGGACGGAAGTCTGATTTCTCTGTGATGCCCGATAGGAATGGGCCTGGTTCTGACGGTTATAATCCAGGTCTACATTTAGTTGTCCCAAATACTACAGTTTATAGTATTTGGTTGTCCGAACTACACCCATATTTATTAAATATAAACATATGAGTGTCCCCCTGATATTTATCGCCCCTCGAGTAAATTTGTCGTGTAATGTCAGTAAAAAACTTTTCGGGTGGATGAGAGTCGACCCTGTTTGAATTAAGAAACTAGATTCGATTATTAGGAAATAGAATAGAAGTTCTGATGATAAAATTCCAGATCCGTCACAAAAAAAGATACATTGTCCCGCTTCTTGTATAATATAGTTACTAGTAAGTAATCACTGTAGAAATATTTAAAACAAATTTATTATTCGTTAAGCGGATCCATGTATCAACACAAAGGGAGCATAAGTACCAATTATCATGTTCTGGATAGGCTGACATAGACATAGAAGTAGTGTAGGTATACAAATGTTAAGTGGTTGCCTCTACAAACAGTTAAACATATGTCTATTAGTGCCAAGGAACGTTGCATTATTTAATCAGTAGCTCTACATAAGTTTTATGTGACCATTTGTTCTCAATTTCTGAAAATCACTTGTAGGCGCTAACTGATTTGCACCTATTCGGAAAATGTAATCCGATAAACTTAAGTTTGATGGTCAAGAGTAGATGAAAATGACCTTTTGCGTTGAGGAAGGTTGTACTGTTGAAATTTAAAAAATCTATTGTATAGACTATATTAGTGTCTGTTGCGTTGTTTAAGGTTGAAGGTCATTTTATCGATTCTATCGGGAATCCTTATGGTAGCCAATCTACTAGACATTAAGAAAACCTAATAAATGTATAATATCATAAGACTATTTAATGTTAAAGTATTTATTTGATTCGTTAAGTAAAATATAGTTTTTACGTTATATATAAATATTCGGACCAATAATTTAGTTGGATGCCTAATCTCCCTTGCTCACTCTTTGACATTTAAAGAGATTAACTAATTAGGGCTTTAATTCTCCAATTGCTTTAAGAGAATACCTGATTCGTAAATATTGTTTGATCTAAATTCAGCTTGTTAGTATCATGTAATTCAATGCTCCAAAATAGTAACAAGATTTAAACTCTAAATTTAGGTCCGTCCAAGGTTAGAAGATTACTGTTTTGGTCAAAGTGAGTTTAACATATTCCACGAATATTATCTAAAGCATTCGATTCATACTACTCATTTAAAAAATTTGAAATTCTGGAATGTCCAAGTGAGTCATTGTTGGATAGAACGCAGTTGCTATTTAATGTTCGAACAGAGAGGTATTTTCTTTGTAGTAATGTTTGTTTACTTTACATACTATGTATCCTTGTACATATAGTTCTAATGTATGTAACTGTGGAATTTTCATGTATTCGAAATATACCTATTTAAAAAATGTTGTTTTCGTTATTTTAAATCATGTCTTGCTCAAGCGCTTGAGCTGCATTATCTAAAACCTAAATCAGTATGCTAAGCCAATCAACTATTGATGCTGATTATGCTAAAAAACCACGGTATTACAACTAATTTACGAACTTCCATTTATATTGTCTTTGGCAGCATTACAAACGGCACAAAAGTTATTTTTCAAAATTTGCTCATCGGCTCAATCGTCTTCCTACATTAGGTGTAGGCATTTATTATTTCACAATTCTGAGGTAAGTTTTTTAGAGGTTTGGCTCTCCCAAAATAAAAAAAAAATCTTTAAGAACTAATGAATGTTTTAACGCTTTATAAATTATAATTTTTGTGCAACATATTTAATTGTAAATTGGTGTTTGTAGTTTTGTGTTAAGTTTTAAATCTGATGATGGCGCTGTTACATGAAGTAAACGATATAAAAATTGTTATGTCACACTTTGCCTGAAACCCAGGAAGGAACTGAATATAACAATTACACGCAGTCAGGAAAATAAATTAAAATTTATTTTATATTCAATTAATTACAAACCATCGAAAAATATGCTTTCAACTTTTTTCGAAAAGCTAATTCGATGCCTATTCTATACACACTTAGATCTGGATAACTGTTGAACGTTTCTACTTATCTTCCAAATTAAAAAGGAAACTACAATTCATAATATTGAAAAGGTACTGCAATAAAGCGTTTTATTCCTAATAACCATGAAGCACATTGATATAGCTGTTTTCTAGTCCTAAAACGATTTGTCTTCAAAAACATATTTTTTTTAATTAAATAATGCTCTAGAATATTGGAAACAGTACTTTCTAAGCCCATTTAGATACGGTTTTATATTTAAAATAATGATGAAACTTGGGTGTTTGATGGTGATTCGAGTGAACCGGACTAAGAATTTATTTATCTAACGCTTGATTTAAAATCTTCTGGATTATTACTTACCCAAACAGAATCAAATACAGAAGAATTAGGAATTGATGACAAAAATTTGCATTTCCACGTGTTCCAAATAACATTTATAAAATACACTTAAAAATATTTATAATATTTGTAAAACGTTAATAAAGTAACGATAAATTAAGAAATATATTAATATGTACCGCATTTGAAAATATAAATACATTCCTTTTTGATTTGGATTTTATCTTATATTTAATTTTTTTCTAGTTTCGAAGACGTCTCAACCCGTGCCTCATTTACATTAAATATTCATATTTGCCGATTCTTTCGTAAAAAAAAAACGCAAAATATAGAATATTCAATAAAATTGTAGTAAGTTTTCATAGCTTAAGTTTATTATTTAAGTCTAAGAATAAACTAATGATTGTTTCATTGTAATCTCGCCTCAAAGTACAACGGTAGTAAATATTGTAACCTTTTAAATTTCGTGCTACGATTAAAAATAATTCGTTTTAAAAATACAGTAGTTTAAATTAATCTCACAAGAATTGATCCAAAGTGTATCTTAATATAATTAAGCTTAAATTGTTGAATCTAAAATTTAAATATTGACCATCTAATTATTCACTGTTTTAATATCTTTTTGAGTGATTTTGAAAATCGCTCCGGGTAAATGTGTTTCAGTAAGATTGTTAACAGTTGTAAATTTCTTCAAGCAACTTGGCACTTTGAGAATTCTTCTCCTATATTTGCGGGTGGTAAAGGTATATAGGATGGGGTTCAGGGAAGAATTTATTGGTAACACGAAAACCACTAGCCAAGCATAAAAATCACCTGAAAGAAATGTTTAATTAAAAATTATAATAAATATTTTATTTCGCTTACCAGATATGTCTACTTTCAGGTACACAAGCATTTTAGCGGTAATTATTGGTACCCAGCAGGCTATATTAGCTAAAACTATGAAGAAAAATCTTATGGCAAATTGGCAGTCATTCATGGGCATTGATGTTGCGTTCCTAGTGTTCTTGATATTTATGAACATCCCTCCGTATGTATAAATTATTATTAGTAAACTGAAAGAATTTTACGAACGTTACATTTATATTTGATTTAAATAATAAATTAGTTTATATAAGGTCTCACCTAGGAGCATTGATCCCGAAAAATATTATTGCTGAGTATTCCCAACCAATTAAATAGGGTTCATCAATATAAAGCGGAAGACAAAGACCATTTACTCCGTAAAATTTCGTACTTGACAGAAGTCCTAATGCTAAAAAGGGTTTTTACATACACAGGACTGTTACTCATTTTTTGATCTTAATCAATTGCCTCAAAATTTCATAAAAATCCAATAAAACGACCCATTCGATTTAGTAATTTAATTTAGTATAAAAATTTCAATGCGCCCCATCACCGGATTTGTTTATCTTTGGCTGAGAGGGTGTATTGTTTACGGCGATTATCCAAACTAGTTGTGACGTAAAACTTGTCTTTGAAAATATTGCCATCCGAACAGGCACTTTCTACAAAATAGTCAACAATGAACTGCAAAGCAATGAGTCATCTAAAGGGCGCTCAAATAAATGATTATATCATCATGTTGGTTCAGTAGTTTGGTGCCTTCCGAACACGGCAACATTTTCGATAGCACGTCAGTCTTTTTCTGATGTCTGATTAAATGAGTCAGTCAGTCTGATTATCCCGTTTCTTACAAACCATTTGCGTCGTGGCTAAATCATCAAAAAAAATTTAAAATATTTTGTGTCATGTTAATTCCGTTCTTCGATGAGAAATATATAACAGGATCATTCATTGTGGCCCTTATGGCAGGTGCAGTAGTTTAATCTGCATGTGCATGATTAAAGTTTTCAATTTGGAATTTATTTTTATTGTGTGTTTTATGATTCGAAGTGTACTGTAAACTTTTTGAGGTTAAATGGGTACAAAGTTAAGGCTGGGGCGCCAGCTTGCAGAAACCTGGTAAGGATGATCACTAATCTATAAATCTCTTTGCTTGAACTGATTGTAGTTTTTCGAAAAGCAAATGAAGTTTTATACATTCTTTAAATTGTGTCTTGTTTGTTTTGCTGATTTTCAGTAACATGGCTTTGGACAGATTTCCTGCGTACTAAACAGATTTTCTTCTTTCTTTCCAGATGGCACAATGCAGCTTTCAGTAAGTTTAACTTTACTTCTGGTTACCATGTAGATGTCAAGCTTTTAGTCCCATAATGTTAACTTGATATTATGATATTGTTACATATCATATTTATTTCACGTGGAACGACTAGGAAGTTTCTCAGATTTACAAATTTTAAGATTTGTTGCCCATTTTTTTAACATTAAGTGGTCAGGTTTTCCACAGTAGATTTTATTAATACCCAAATTAGGGGTGTAAAAATATTAGTGTTTTCTCGTGTATAATACATGGGCCATGTATTTATTATGCAATGAGCGAAAAAAATTCCTGTTTCGGAAGAGTTATTTTCAGGCAGATTTTTGACGGCCTCCTTAAATCCGCAATTTTTGACGGCATTTTTGATGTAGTTTCATTGGTCTTGATGATTCAATAATTTATTTCGCGTTTTTATAGCTGCCCGTGAATTATTAAATTGAATTGAATAAAGTGAATTAAAATGTATCAACTTATTCCCCGTTGGACAATGTAACTTCAGAAATATTCAGAAGAAGTTCAAGCGGCATTCTGAGAAAACATTTTTATTTTATCATAATAACATTTTTAGAACTTCTTAATTAATAGAAATCCATTTTTACGTTGTCGCGTTTGAAACTTTGTAATGCTGCAATGTTTTATGGTCTTCCAACTCAGATCAAATTGTTTTTTTGCTTACAGCTTGTTTTTTTTGCATTTTAATTAGGACAAATTTGAGAATATTTGCCTGGCTGTTTGACTATCTAACATTTTTCCTGCCAAGTATCCGTATTGTTGATTGATCACAATTTTACTTGCAGTAACAGAGCAAAATGCGTTTTTATCGTTTTTACTAATATAATTTGTTAATCATGAACAAAATACGCCATATTGAATCATTTTATCACAATAAACATTTTATGTAATTACAACAAATTGACAAAAAATACTGAAAAATAATAACTTATTTGATTTTCAAAACATTTTTGTTGAGTATTTCGTCTTACGAAAATTAGCCTTATTTATTTTAAATTGAGAACTTTTCACACCACCTGAAAAATAATCATCGATTCAGAGCGGTAATTTAAAAACCAAAAATTCAAAAATTGTTTATATTATCGTGAGTCATAGTCAATTGTATATTTGTATGCGGTGCGCGGCGGTGAAATTTTGACTTCCAAAACAAAATCAGGTTTTCTAGTCGTTTATTTGAGTGATAACGAAAATTGTGTTAAAAAGTGTGCGGAACATTCGACATGCAGATTAGGTGCCTAAAAACGAACAACAAATGGTAAGGGCCTGAGGCCTACGAGATCTTCTATGTTGGGGTAAGTCGAGATTTTTGCAATTATTTTTGATGCAATGAATGTGTGGAAAAGTTCGGCATTCCTTCCACGATTTTTACATGCCATCAAAACATATTGTCTTTAAAAAATGCTGATAGTACAGGGCAAAGTATGTGGGTTGAGATCAGCACAGTGTTTCCCAGATAGAGGAAGGTGTCAAAGTTACTTTTCTCTTACTTTGTTATTTTATATTTATTACACCTCCACGTATGATTGAGTAGTTTGAAAAAGTTTTCTAGCATTGAACACATAAAAATCAATGAAGATTACGCAAATGTTTTATAGATCGCATATTGTGATACTTTTCTATGAGATAATTCTAATAATTGACTAAAGCGCAATTTTCATTTCATATAATAAACTAGCCAGTACTTGTCGGATTATAAGTAACAACTGTATGTCTAGAGTTTAATTAAGAGAGTTTTATGCATCATTATGATAAATTAGATCTATTAAGAGTACTCGGAGAGATTAAATTCTGTTTTCCACGTGTGAAAGCAAAAGTTAAATAATATTTTCGCGCCCTTCGTCTACTGCAAATAACAATACCGTATAATTTATAATTGCTAGATGAAATTTCCATTATGTAAATTGCGTCCACGAGCAAGCATTTTTTGTCCCTGCATACGAGATTTACATTTTTTAGGCTCCATTAAATGAAATATATTAACTGAATTAGGAACATAATTTAAAAACTTTAAAAAATTCCATTCAACGATTATACAGGGCGACATTTTGAGAACTTGAAATGGCCATATCTGAGGAACAAGAAGAGATTGAAAATATTTCTCGGACCAGTTTCTATAATTTGCCGGAGGATTTAAGTTTGTTCGCGAGCTAACTGCCAGTATCAACCCTCTAGCCCTCAGCTAATTAAACTGAAAAACTTGTACGACAACCCATTAGGTACATGTGGGAGCTCTTTTTAAAGCTCAAAAGTGCTTGCCGTTTGAGTTACAAGTTTGAGAAAGCGATTTGTTAATTCATGTTTTTATTTCTGTAGCAACAAATAAATAAAATTCAATAAAAAGTCGTAATTTCTGATACGCATAAACTGTTGGACGCAAGAAGGGGCATTTGAAAATAATATTTCGTAAGTACTGTTACAGATGATAAATTTTTACTACTATTCTGAATTTAAATTTGTTAAGGTATTTTTCATAATCTCAAAGTCCTCCAGCTACGGAATGAATAGTCTGTTATTAATTTTTTGTTCGGAATAAATATGTTACGCTCACAAAAATTTCATTTGGCAACAGAAATTCTTAAACCAATTTTTGAACTAAATGAATAATTGTTATTAAATTGCAGAGCCACATCGGTAAGGCTTCCAACATTTTACAGGATATAGATCACCTATAAATTGAAAATATTGATTCTATTGTATAAAATCTTCACTTTACTGTCCCATTTAGCACGTTTCACAAACGTTTATTTCAATTTATTTTATAGTTATCAGTAAATCTTTACGTTCGTGTATTGAGAGCAAATATTTAAAGTACCTCTTCCATCGTATTTTTTTTCGTTGAATTGGATATAATCCTAAAGAAAATGATATATCAAAGCCGTTTTTGAAGCAATATGCAAATTCTGGTTATCACTATTTCTCATGATAAAGATCACATTAAGAAATAAAAATATAAATTCAAATCAATATATTATCAACCTAGAAAGGTATCAAAGAAAAGTTAATTAATCCATTTAGTGTAGTCGCGAAAAACCAATATGATGAGTATTACTTCTGTAAAGTTATCCAAATACTTTCTATGAATGTTAATTTGATTTAACATTTTAAGACTGCTTTGGTTCCAAAGATGTAGAGTATCGCTGCAGGCAATAAAATGTCCATAAACTCTTCGTCACTGAAGACACGTGTCCTTCTAATTGGAAAAGAAAACAACAAACCCAAACTTTAATTTAACTTTATTACTTTTTACGCCGGTTTTTCGTGAACGTTTTTGAAATCGATTTAACATGTAACAGTTCATCTATTGAAATTTATGAAGTTTCAAATAATTGAATAGAAGTGGTAAACGCACCAGATACCGGGTGTTTGGAACTTATTGAGCAAGAACTATAGAGTGCAAGGAAGGTGCCGAAATGAAATGGCATTCTTATTGCATCATCAATTTTTAATGCTACTTTGAAAATTCTAAGATTTTAATTATAAAGGTAATCAATCCACTGTTATCCATGCTTTTGTGACAATTTGGATCCTTTGTCACGAGAAGCCCTTGATTTATTTTATACATTTTGGTGTTTTGAAAGTAAAAGGTTTAAAATATCGACTAAAATAAGTATCAAAATAATCTAATATCAGGTATTGTACAAGAGCGTTAAAATTTTATATTTTATAACTCAGAAAACGTTACTGTTTTTGAAAATTATGAATGAAAATTAATGTATTTAATAAGTAAAGTAAAGTGAGTAAAGTAAATAAGCCGATAAAACAGACAAAAAAGAAAAATATTTGGAAGTAGTAGGTACAAAGTTGAAAAACTAGTTGCTTATCATCGTTTTATATTTAGAGTTTTTCTTGATGTCATGTATTAATACTTTTGATAGGTAGAACCCTTTGACCTCATTGATTGGCAAAAAATTTGGTAAAAGCCACATATGATATTCTGATACCCTGAACTGAAGCAATATGTTTATTTCTATGTAAATATTGTGCTGCATAAAAAATGTAAAAACAGTATCAAACACACGGGACTCATCTTTTGAAAGTAATATGAAATAAATATGATAAAATACAAAATATGTTACTTTAGCAAGCTAAAAATTAATTCTGATATTGAAGCATGATAATCTGAAAAACTATAGACTGGTAGTACTTTGATTTGTATTATAAATTCAATGTACTTTTTAAAAACTGATTATTTGAACTGATAAATTGAAATAAATAAATCCGGCGCAATCAATTAAATACGCTCCAGATGAACTAATATCCCGATTTTCAAATAAGCGCGCACCTAAAGAGCTCCTGAAATAGTAGAACTCGCTTTCGTTGAATTCAACATTTTCCACATGAGTCTATTAAAAAAAATAATAGGATGCGGAAAATCGTTGCCTTCAGTGACAGTTTACGAACTTTGACGACTTATTACGACTTAATAACTTATCGCCATTTACACATGAAGTACATTTGATACATCTACACTGGAACGACACAAATGAAAAATATTGGCTTATTTGTAATTTTTACTTTCCGAAGCGCATAGTGATTATTCTAATAATCTAATAAATCCTAACTAAAAAATATTATATTTTTACCTGGTATAACCGAGATGCAAATTCCAAAACACCAGATGCACAAAATAACTCTCCAGGTCTCTTTTAGAGTTAATGAACCATATTTCTTATATGGCATCGTGATTACAAAGTATCGATCAACTGACAAGAAAACCAGAATCATCACTGATACTTCTAGGGATGTCATTCCAATTATTCCAGTAATCACACAGTTCCATGAAGACATCCATTTCCTGGCTATTTCGTTGTAATTGTCTCGATACTTTAGGTCATGATAAGCAATTATAAGCAGGTATATCCCCATTAGGCCATCACTTACTGAAATAGTTAAAAACGAATTTAATTTATTTCCATCTAAGACTTGTTATAAGAATTACCTGCCAGGTTTTTTATGACAACGCTGAGATTTTTATTTTCATCTCGAAACAAAAATCGCCCAAATAAAACAAGACTGTTACCGCCGATAGTAATAATACACATTATCCAATTAGAATACCTAAATATAGGTTTAAAAAGCAGCTGATTGATGGATGAAATTCCTAAAAACCGTTTAAAATATCAAGACAAACCCTTAACGCAATATATTCAATTCAAAATCTACACAATCGCCGTAGAATTAAATATTAATCGTTGAAGTTGATTAATGGACCATTAATGGACCTAAAATACATTTAATATATCAAGATAATCTATTTGTTGTGTTCAACATATATTTTCTGAATATTGATTCTTTGGAATATTTTTGCTTCATTCAGCATACCATTTTAATCAAAATATTTCGAGTAAATTAAAAAATACGTATATAAACAGTTTACCATCTGATAGAGGTCTGCATCTAGGCACTGTCGGAACATAAGTACAATATTTATACGTTTTAAAATATATCCATTGCAAATTGGTCAAACTAGCAAATATATCTGTATGGATGTTTGTAATGTCGATCTCTTCCAAATGTCTTAAAATATGTTTAATTCCATTTATCATACATTTGTTAATATTGCAGCAAATACTTACAATGACAGAAGATTTTGCAGGTTGATGAAAAGGTCTTTGTGTAGGACCGAGATTGGATTATTTCCAATTGACCTAAAAATCCCATTGGAACCAAGAATATTAATACAGTCCATAGTGTTACAACATTGAGATAAAAGTTGGAAAATTCAGAACCCAAAAAAGTGTGGAAATGAAACAATTTGAAATTGCCAAAATTCTTCAATTTCCTCAAATCATTTTTTTAATCACTTGTTCTTTTGAAATTTTGAAACGTCTTTTCCGAAAATTTGAGTGAAAAGTTTCGAGGCAGAATTAACCCCCAAGTTTTCAGTATTATTTCTGGATAACGTATTGGTACCTACAGTTTGCCTAGGGCGCCTTGAGAGATGAATAAACAATGGTGTAAAGATCGCAGAAAATTATTACTCAAGTCCCTAAAAAACAAGCACAAATATAACTGTTAGACACTTAAAGGTTTTAGTTGCTTACAATTCTTTTAGTTGCTTTAAATTAGCAAATGCCCCAATATCCACAGCCCTTATGGAGTTGGATCTCAAATTTCTGAAAGATATGTAATATACATTTGAATATATCTGAAACAACCTTATTTACTTACAATAAGTCGAGACCGGTTAGGTTGCTGAATGTGTCATTGGCTATAAACCTTAGTTTGTTATTATTTAAATAGCTGAAAGAATATTCGAAATAATTATTTGCCTTTTGCGAATGAGAAATAAGTTTTGCTTACAGCTCCAGTAATTTCGGCAAAAATGGAAAGGACTCCTGGTCGTCAAATGTTAATTCATTATGCGACATGTTCCTAAAGGAGATATTTATTAAAAGTTGTTAAGATCTTTAGCCAATTCAATAAGCTTACAGCCATTTCAACTCTATGAGTATCTCGAAATTACTGAAATAAATTGTCTTCAATTTGTTGTTGTCCATGTGTAGCCATTCTAAGCTAGTCAGTCCAGTGAAGACTCCAGGTTTGAGAACGGATAATTCATTGTTCATTAAAAAACTAGTAAGTAAAAAGGAAAATTTACTAAACCATAGTGGCTTAAATTGAACCAACATATATTACTCTCTTGGGAATAGCAAGATATAGAAATTGTTAACTCGGGAAAGTTACAGTGAATGTCGAAGCCTGATCGATGCCGACTTGAAAACGATTTAGTTCCTTATTTTTTTCAGTTTTCTCTATCTGTTATATCCCCTAAGTGACTGTAGAAACTGAAAAGTCACTCTTAAATCACATGACATATACAGGGTGTTCTGATTTGTGTGTGCAGGATTTTAACAGTATTTAGAGTATTTAGAAAATTGCATTTCCGTTGCCATACTGAATAAGTTAAAAGGAATTTTTGTACTAAAATCCAGAAGTCCAGATATCTCAAAAAGTGAAAAATGTTATTAGATTTTATATACAGCAGGCTTCTTCATCCCACAAAATTTCATATACTTAAAAAGTACAAACATTACTCCACTACCACGAAATCTAAACTTTTGCCGATTTATTGCTGTTAAAAACGCTGTATCAAGTATGAAATCCTGGTAAGAAAACCTGAAACACTCTGTATATGTAATATTTTTAACGGAATATACATACAGCTTCTTGAGATAATTTTGCTGTTCGAAAGCTCCTGGTTCTATGCAATGTAATTCGTTGTTTTCCAATTGTCTGTAATATTAGTTTGCGAAGGTTTCTAGCATTTTATAGATAAATTCTACTTACAATAATGTTAGATTATACACATTCAACGAATCTTTTTTCAGTGTTCTAATACTATTATTTTGAAGACCTCTGAAATATATAATTAAATTTCCAGTAAAAAAGTAGATTATTCGCAGATAACTCCAAATTACTTACAAGTATGTTACTCCTTTGGATATATCCTGAGGAATATCTTTAAACTGAGCGTGATTACAATAAACTTTGGATTTATAGGCGCATCGACAAACTAGTGGATGGTTTTTAATATCTAGAAAAAATGTTTATTGGAAAGAAACTTTCATATGAACTTCGCGCTTGATGCACCAAGGCAAACATGCTTTTAATGCGCGCTCAATATATAGATTTATTTTAATCAGTGTTGCACTTAGAAGCAATTCATATGCTACTTTGTATGATAAATATATTGCCCCTTATGTATGTATATTACATATTAAATTAAGATTGTATTTAAAGGCACTGTAATATCACACAAATATATATCTATATTTAGTCTTTGGGAAACAAAGTTTTAAGTAAACTTGACTATTTTTGCGAGTGCGGCACACTGTTAAATGTATTACAATTAAAACTGGATCACGCTGTTTATTTAAGATACTTTTATAATTACTGAAATAAGCGGATTACTTACCACATTCTTTGTAAGTGATCGCGGCATTTTCTATTAAACTACGATTTAAAATTTCATCTAAAAGATTAGTGCTTCCAGTTAGATCCGCTGAAATCGAAGATAAAATTTAAGTAATATTGAAATGCAAAAACTATTGAAATAGTCACGTACAGCATAGCACAGGGTTTTCATCTTCGCCGTCAGGACAATCATTGTGTTCATTGCAAATCTTGCCATGTGGGACACAAAGTCCTCCAGAACTACATGACATTGTGCCGATGGGGCAATCACCTGTAAATTCAAAATATTGAATTAAATAAATTGATGGGTGGATGAATTGAATGAAAATTTTTTTTTATGGGAGTTTCATTGTTTCTGCTGAGGCATCTGCATAATTAGTGCATTTAATTGCAAAACAAGTCTTGGATAGTACGTATATACGTACTAGCATACACATAACACATATATGTATGAAAAAATCTCATTATAGAAGATTTTTTCATACATAGAAGTGAAATCAATATTGCTTAGTGGAGTTAGTCTTGAATGTTTTTTTGTCACTTTACCAAACGATGCCTCGAGAAATCGCATTGTTTAGCAGTGCTTCAAAAATGTACCCAAACGTTATATAAAATCATATTCTAGTTTGAACCGCAAAACATGTCGAATATTTAGAGTCATTCATAGGCAAACTTCCTCCACTCTTACATTTTGAGTTTCCGTAATAGCCTCTTTTTGCGTTGCTAAAATGTCTGCCATTGTGTTTTTCTACGTTGCCTTTTTCTACCCTCATTGGTTTCCGCCCTCATCAATTCTTCACAGGTCGCCAAACCATCTTGGCGGTTGACTTTGTATTGTGCTCAGTATATGCTTCACTTTAAATAACCTTCTTCAAAAATACTGATTTCTTCTAGCTGTACCTTCATTCTTATCTATTTTGATGGTTTGTTTTCCTTCTTGTTCCAATCAGTTTAGTTTCCAAATATTCATGGTCTGTTTGGTTTTTAGCGAACAGAGTTAAATCAATTGCAAGTACGCTTAAATAAGAATACCAATATTTTGTATTTGCCTAAATTTCGTCTTTGCCTATTTTTTTAGATCATAAATTATTATTTTGAGCCATATTGACCTCAGATTTATCTCCTGTCTCAAACTTTCCCTCGTGGCAACATCCTCGGATTGTTTGTTTAGATTTTCACCCGATATCTTGTTTTATATATGATTTATACTGTAACTTTCTCCATCTTCATTCTTTTAAGGCAATTTCAACTTTCTTGTTTTTTTTGAAGAATTCTAAGAAAAAATGTCTGATTTGTTTCACTATCGTATTTTATCTTTTCGCCTAATGCTGCCTATACTTTCGTTTTTTGCTACGTTAATCAGATCCTTGGCGTGATTCGCGAACGAGATGTTTTAGTGCTTGTCCAGCTGGACTGTAATAAAACGTTTGAAATCAATTTAAAAAATCCAGGTCAGGTCGGTGGGCAAAGAAAAGGTTTCGGGATAGTAGTGGTTGTTCATATTATGTTAGAAACGCTATCCTACTTTTCTCTAATAATAATTTAATGATTATTAATAGAAATTCAATTACTTCATCATATCTGATTAGTTTCTTATTTTGCGTAAACATGATATTAAGGTTTTTGATGGTGTTCCATTAAAAAATATTTTGCAAATCCATCCAATGCTTCGTGAGTTCTCTGTTTTATTCGCCGTAATGACAGCAATAAAATCAACTCTTTTGCGTTTTAATCGACAGGCTAGGTAACTTTACAAACGCTCTACAATTATTTAAATAATTGAAATCTTGTACGTTTATGCATATTATAATTATTAACATATATATATATATATACGTAGAGAATGAAATTTTATTTCATATGCACTGTATCTATTTATCTGTCCACTGGTAGGAAAGCGGGCTCAATAACTCAAATCGTTTTTGAGATATGATGAAAATCGACGCCTTATGTTTGAGTCGATTTTGCAATTTTTACGAAGCCGCGGAAAACTAATAGTTATCTGGAAATCTTGGGTTTTTGTATGAAAATTACCAACAGTTTGCAAATAATGCTTCAGTTTGCGAATGTGCTATTTAGTACTGTATCCAGTGGTGTAGGTTTGTTCATAATACATATATGAGTAAAAAGCTGGCGTCATGGTTGAAATTATAGCCCGATCTTGTTTGTACCTTCTTGTGTTATATTAATTGAAATTCAAAATAATAATTTTCTGGAAAACTATTCATTTAATGGATGGAAATGGCAAACAAGACTAAGTTTTGTTAACAGTCATTGCGTGTATCATATAGGGTGTTTAAAGTTATTTGATAAAAAAAACAATTTTCTGGCGTCTATTTCGATAGAAAGGTCTACATTATTTTTTAAATAGAAATTTTTTTCATGACCTCTATATTAAACCGAAAAAATGCCCACATTTTTCGGGACACCTTATATACTACCCAAATCCAGATATTACTCGACTACTAACCTCTGTCAGAACTCATGATATTTACTTTAAAGTGCTCTCATTATTAAACGTTTACTTGCCTGCTTGCTCAATTTAAGTTGAACACCCAGTTTTTCAAAGCTACCCAATATTCGATTTCAAAACTATTTACCATGTTAAAATAAATTTTATAAACTCTATCGACTGTTAAAGTATTTTTACAGAGATCGGAAACACCCTGACTGTGTTCATATAAACGCTTTTAATTAACTTTATAAGCTCTATCGTTTTGTTAACGTCTTTTTGCAGCGAACGGAAATATCCTGAATCTAAGTTCTAATCTAGTCTTGTTCTAACTTTTGAGTGAATGGCTTCATACGATATATTCCACCCACTTAAATCTACTTCAACCCTAGAATATATGTGTGTCAGAGCTTCCTTTATAATTAAAATGTTAACTATACCTACCTACAAAATATTATACACAGGTATCTTAAATTTACAAAAATTTTCAATAAATAACCGTATTTTACTGATGTTTGTTTTATCAGTGTTTAAATATCTGGGAGAATCCAGATATGGAAATACCTGCAACCGAAATTGACTTAATTTGTTAGATTAAAGGCTCTGTTGAATTAAGGCTTATTTCACGACCGATTAGAATCAACGTTCGTTGAGTATGGTTGCAAGTGTTTAATTATTTCATTGGAATTTACGAAATTACCCACATGTGTTTCCTGATACAAAGGGTTACCCATTTGGGAGGCATCTGGACAATTCATAAAATTGTTTCAATCGTAAATTGTTGCATAATAGTACAAATCACAGCCTGGCCAATCATAAAATTGATCCTTATTAACCCGAGCAATATACATTTAACTATGAATGAATTCGGTTGAATATTACCCACGTTTCATCGAAATAATTATCAGCTATTGCATTAAATTGCAATAAAATAATATACAAAATACATTTAAAGAACACCTGAATATATATTTATACATGATTAGGCACTTTTTTCGTCAAATTATTTTCACAAGTATATGGCATGAGTTTTCGATTCCAATGGCATAATGAATAATTTGTTAATTGTTAATAAATTACTGAAATATAAACAATAATAAACAAATAATAATATATTGCTATCTATTACAATTGAAAATTATTAGCTAATGAAACCGGCAATAATCCTTGCATGTTAATGGAATACACATAAGCTTATTCACTCAATTTATGAATTAGTCTACTAATTTTCAAAACCGAGAGTTATTTTAACGCTATCGAGCTTTCATTATAACGTTTCGATTCACTATTATCAGCGACTATTTTCAAGAGTGCATCATTGTTAACTTGATAGTTCGAAAAGTTGTAAATTATGTCTTGAACTTATCTTTTTAAGACAATAACCGTCTTTTTGAAACAAACGGGAATTTATTTGTAACTTTACAGTTGTTGTTGAGTTGGAAACATCTGAAAGTTTTTCATACCATTCGCGAAAATTTCACTTTTCACCCTTTCAATATTAATGAAATATTGCACTAAAAACTAATTGCTAAAGTTTCTCGAAGCTAATCCAGTCGAAATAATCAGCATCAAGTACATTTTATTGTACCATTTTCACTATTGAATCTCCACGGGAATGTACACAGGACCGTTTCCAATTTAAAACTTTTTATTATGCCTATGTATTTTAGTTTTATTATTTTAGCATTATTTTAGAGTAACACTTTCCAATATGCTATTGAAGCATTACTTTGTGATTTAGTTTTTACATGTTTCATGTTTTGTAATGAATGACTATTGGCATTAAGCACATTGTTGACTTTTGTCTATAGGAAAACCAATTTGGTTAAAAACTCTGTTAAAATAGGATCGCCTCTTATGAATCTGAAAAAAAATTGGTAGGGATTTTTTTATATTTTCATGGTTTTATCGCTAGGGAGCTTGAGATAAAGCATTTAAATATAGCCCACTATGATTCTAGGTATTGCTGGATCAGCAATAAACCGCGCAAAAACAGAAATTATTAATTTTTCTGTGATTTATACCCGGTTTTTATATAGACATTTCGTGTTACCTACTCTATTCAAGGAAAATTTCTCTGTAGGTTTCAGATGAATAGAGGAAGTTAGACACGTGGAAAGAAATTTCTTCATGCAGTAGCACTTGGGTAATTTCATAAATTTTACAACGTCTTTTGCGATTAGATAGATTTATAATAGCGAACTTTATCGAGTTTAGAGAACTATTGAAATTGAAAATGTTTAACTGCCACAATGGAGCCATAATAGTACATTACATAGATTGTACTCATGGGTTAGGCATTACTAATAAACTACTGCCCATAACTGTTTAAGCAATATATTTATACAACATATTAATTTATTTATTTTGCATATTAATAAGTAAAATGGCAAAACTCCGTCAGATTAATAATTTCAACATTTTTAGTATGATTTATTTCTATAGATATATTTTTAATTAACTCTGCGTGGCCTCCGGCTGAGTGCAAATTTATTTTTATTTGAAGCTGTATGTTTTTGGAACATGTTCTGATTACTTTCCTAGTCGTTTCGTGGCTTTGAACAAAAAAATCTAATAAACAATTGAATCAAACAGGCATTAAATTAACAGAAAACATTCAACAATAGGTACTCAGGTACAACAGGAAAGCCGAAAATGTTTTCGACAAGCTTATGATGTTATATTATCTATCTTACCTTTGCTGTAAAAATAAACTAGAATTGATATTAAAACAACAGCAGCAATGATGCACCCATTGAGCAAAAAGTCCCGCCAATTGGACATTTGCGAGGAACGGATTTGAACACTGTTTCACAACTGAAATTTTCCAGCTTCAACGGAAGCCGTTCGAAAATATTAGACACTTGTTGCGGTCGATTTACGTTATCAGGTTTGGGTTCACAATAAGGGCGAATGAATAGTTTTCAGGATGTCTGTTTGTAGACCATGTAAAATACAATTGCTGCTAGAGTAGTTACACATTTTACTTTTTTACACATAACTAGCAAAATTTTGTAAAATCAACCCGAAATTTTCTTTAAATCAATATTCCTCTCGGACATTCAGCCACATTTTTAATTTGTTAATAAATAAAATGTTTCGCAAATCGTTTTTTTGGTTCTAAATTAGATTATTTAACAAAAAAATTTTTGTAACTTAATAATTGTATTTCTATTACTTTATTCAGGTCTAAAACATGACAGAATTATCTGCAAGTTACAATCGTTGACTAGAGAAAGTCTAATTTAATTTTCATTTGCTTCAATGTTTAATCTTAGCGAGCAAAACTGTATAACATTTTTTGATTACATCGTTCTCTACTGTAATGAAACTACATGAGTTATAAACTGGAGATTAGTGAGTAGAGAAAATGACGCAAATATGGGCTACCCATTATATTTTAGTCTTTAAACATTTTTTTATGACTTAATAATCAATACCGAAAATATCCAACGATAGCTACATTAGTCAGTCACAATCTGTCATAATTTCACATTGATTAAGCAAATTAGAAATTCATTATTTGGAAAAATACTGAAAAGGTGCATTTTTGTGTCAATTTGAAATTGGCCTTAAATATGGGCTACCCCCAAAAACGCTTGAAAAATATTCGATGTGAAGTGGTAATCTATCTTATTTATTGGGATAAGTTATACAAATAAAAGTTCTGTCTGAAATTAAATAATTTATTGAATAACTCATAATTATATTGTAATTGACATCTACTATTTGCAAAAATCACACACATAATCTTGTTTTTCGGCCACAGCGCACTCGTTGTGGGCCCACAAATTGCACATCAAGCTCCAAGAGAATCAGCTCAAACAAGTAGCTTAATCAAATCAGCAGATTAATTAAGCTTAAAATTAATCCCGGAAATCTACTTAAATACGCCTAAAAGTCATAGGTATCAAATTTTCTAACTAAATGCACTTCAATTCATATTATTTATGATTCATTAAATGTTTCCCGTGGTAGTTGCATTTCTTGTTCATTTAATTAGGTGGTATTATTCAAATGCCAGACATCAAATTCAAGTCTATTATATAAATGAACTTTTCTTAAAAACCTGAAGAGCTTTATCTAAATTATTGCTGAACTTTTTATTCATCCATTATTTAGAACCCCTTCAATATT